AAGTCAACAATTATCTAATTTCATACTAAATCACTAATTGTTATTGGTAGTACTTTTTGAAATATGGATGTTAAAGACAAAAACAACTTGAAAATGCTGATTATTCAATTACACGTTCCATTGATTTCAGTTCTAGAAAAGCGATAACCTAGTTTTTTTTCATTTGAAAAATAATAGATTCTTGTTTTATAACATTTTTTGGCATCCCCTAAGTCACGTTGACCTCGATTTGACCTTTGTTTTTTGGAAATTGGTCGTCTCAATCGTTCGAGACATTAGCAAAATGAGAATGATTTGTGTCGAGATTTAAAAGATAGGCTTTCCAAGGTGATTTTAAATGATGAAAATCATTCGAACATTTTAAAGCACATTAAAAAGCGAGGTATCGGGGATTTAAAGCTTGCATATGAAATCGAAACGCCAACCTATACGTATGACCAATCGCCCATACAAATGCATCGCTTAAGTATTTCCGTTCATATTTAGGTTGTGAATATTGCAAGCTTAAAATCTCTGTTACCATAAAATGACGTTTTACGAGCATAATATAGGCGTTTTGATATAGAATATTGACACAATTGTTTCATATTTTTTTGGCGGGATTTTTGGCGTAGTGTTGAATTTACACCTTCCTACGCCCCTGCCAAGAGGTACGCGACAAGGTGACCTGGCATCAAATGTGCGACTAAATGCTACTATCCGCGAGAAGATAAAATAACGAATACGACAATAAGTTATTGCATGTGACAATTCCGAGCCTTCATCTCACTGAAGTATTTTGAAGTGAAAATAGGATTTTTGTTTTGATACATGGATTCAGATGAACGTAACTTTATTCTGACAACTAATCAAAACTGAACAAAATTGATTGTACGTAACAGACAATTTATTGTTTTACAATGTTTTGATTGGCTAAACGAATGACACCAACAAATTATGACATGTAAAATGGCAATTTTGAAATGTAAAATTTAAAAGTGACAAACACAACCTCCCTATCCACTCTTTGGGAGCCCTAGTAAATTAGTAATATGGACATGCAGCAGTGGTAGTGTACAGCTTATTATCACACTACGCTTTGTATTCTAAAGCCTGTTGTTTGTAATAACACTGTTCACTCAACGTATGTTTTGTGTGTGGGCAGTCAACGATAATCATTGTTTTATCCCGGTTATATGACCTCGGCAATTATAACAAAACCGTACTAAACGAAAAAACGCAAATGAGAGAAAGCTTTCACACACATATAAAAAATGAACTAGTCTAATCCGCCAGTATAAACTCTGTGCTTTACGTAGCCGGTGTAAAAGGGTAGGAGGTCCTATCAAATTATGGTCCTACTCTCCATCGATTTATATGGTGACCTAAATACAACTCTTTCCTTCATTATCTTATACACACTCAGGGCCAGTAAGGGCCGTTAAGAAAGGGGACCATAATCCCTGGGGGACCATCATTTCTTTCACACCGGGTCAGGCGCGCACTTTAACAGTTGTCATGTTGATGAATGGATTTTTCCCATTGGATTTGATGACTTGCCAACTTCACCCTTGCAAAAGATTTCATTGAAAATGTGTTCTTTTAGTGATTTCGTTCCTTTTAAATGATTTTATAGAAAAAGACTCAATTTTATAGAAAAAGAATCAATGCATTGTAGCTGCTTCATACCACTCTGGCGGTGTTTCCTAAACTTTGCATTCCCGCTGCGCGGTCATGCAAAGGTTTGGAAACAACACCTTCATGGTTTGATTCAGCAAACAATGCATTGAGTCTTGGGCTTAAATCCTTTAATAACTTTTTTAAAGTTTTGTGCATAAAACGTTCGTCACTTTGAATCACAACGATGAAAAGAAGCATGCACTTAACATCGTCTGGTTCCATGGTTTTCAGCATATACTGTAAAACATGTTTATTTTTTAATGATTCATGAATTTTTTCAAATAAATAATTTCAAGAAACGTGCCACGAACCTTTAAACAAAACGCTCCACTTAAGTTGAGGGTTCTATTAAAGCTTGTCATTTTTATGGAACAATAATGTTTGATTTTCCGTAAAAACGACAGGGTTGCTTTTAGTCTTATTAAACATTTTTTTCTTAGAGGGTAAACGTATGCCTTCCAGTATAAGTGCATTATGGCGGCTCGAGACGAATCTACCGGATTGTTGGTCTATCTTTAAGAATTCAGTTTTGTATTACTGCTCATTGAAATCGTCTTCCTGAAGATAAAACTGTCCGTCAAAAGTTTATAATCTATAATATTTGGAGTTTGAGAGCGTGAATCAACAAAAGGATGCATGAGCAAATACATTGGCGTCGGAAGGGGAGGACGTTGGGGGCGACCGCCCCCCCCCCCTTTTCCCAGATTTTTTAGATTTGAAACCGAGCCTAGAATTGAAAGGGCTCTAGAGCAAAGTGTAATAATGACAGAAATGATACTATGTCAGTATAAAGTCTATATCAAGCATAGAAGAGTCATCTCGTATTATATTTTTTTCTATACCAAGATGTATAGTTTCTCGGGAACCCATACAGTATGTAAATAGTTTGAAGAATAAGTGCAAAATGTATATTTTAGTCAAAGTCAAGATTAGTTCTAAAAACACATTTTTCTTGTTTTTATTATTGGAAATGTGATATGTTCACAGTGAACCAGAGATGGTCTAATTTGAAAATACCCCTAGATTGCGCTTCGCGTGCGGCGCTCAACACGCTGCATAATCCATCGATACCCAAAAAGTCGCCTCCTTCCTTGGATATCCTTCTGACGCCCCTAAAATATACATTTATTATTATTTACGTTTAGTTATTTATTGGACATTGCATAAGATCATGCAATCATGCATGATGTCAGGTATGATACATCGCGAACGTAAAATCGTTAGTCGCGCACCTATTATTTTCTCGCTCCCGAACATATTTATCCACTCGCGCACAGAGATCCGTGCTCCCGAACCACTATTGTTTTATTGTCATGGTAATTTTGGTAAATAAATGCGTAAATCGATCCAATATGTATGTGAAGGTTACTTTCAAATCTATAGTATCTTCTTAATAGGAGACAAAACGCTATAGGTTATAATGCATGGGTACATTTACCTAAGATACGGTAACGCAAATTCACATTCCTTGACCCTTACTTGCCAACCTAAAATGAAAAAATTTTACGAGAGATTTTTCCAAAATTCGGTAGACGGTAGTTTTTACGGAAGATTTTGCAGATTATCTCCAGTTTCTTTGTCTTAAAAAGATTTTTTTTCGGTAAACTTTTGAAAATCGATAGCTTTTGCGGGATATTTTTGAAAAACGGGAGTTTTTGCGGTAGGCCTTTGAAAACGGGAGTTTTTGCGGGAAACCATTGAAAAAACTGGAGTTTTTGCGGGAAATTTTCGAAAAAAATTGAAGTTTTTGCGGTAGACTTTTGAAAAACGAGAGTTTTTGCGGGAGATTTTTGGAAAAATTGGAGTTTTTGCTGTAGACTTTACTTTTGAGTTTAGATGCTAAATATTTTGATTCTTACCTTGCTTAAATGAGGCGATTTGTTTATACCCGCCATTGCTGAGCTTTGCGACTTCCAAGGTGTTATACTGACACAAGTTGGAGCAACTGAAACCTTGTGAATCAAGATGATTGCTTCGGTAAGAACCATCAAATTGCCCATGTGTACTAGAATATAGTAATTAAACGCCACAAAAATTTCGATTCACACAGTCAATACCACAGATAAAGTGTAATTTGTCGCATTATTAAATGATTTAAACCTCAAAATGTCAATATTTTTTAGTATTAACAATGTTTTTGTATAAAAAGGAGCAGGTTTTATTATACTAAGAAATCGATTAAAGGATTGGTGTCGATATGGAGAACTGAATTCAACAATGTTTTTCTCTTAAACCAATTATTGAAAACATTCTGTAAAAAAACACGTTTTTGTTAACATTTTTTGTTTTTTAGTGCAATTGTTTTTTGTTCCTTTTTACCATTTCTTGAGAATGAAATAAAATATCTTTCCGAAGCTTGTTTGATCGAAATAGCATAAACAATATTTTTTAGACTTCCCAATATTATAGTTGTACAAAGGAAATTTTGGTTGATTTAACAAAAAGTATTTAAAAAATTAAAACAAAAACCCCCGAAATGGATGTCAAGTTCACCGTCTAGGATGTTGTTAGTAGATGAACTTGAACCGATCTTTCTAAAAATATGGAAACATCAGTTTGCTCAAAGGGGCAGGTACGTTATTTCAAGCTTTTTTAGACAGCTCTTACAATAGAATGAAAGTAAAGTCGAACGAATTATCTCTTAAGCTCAGTCATTAATCCACCCATCATCGGCACCAATTTTTCGCAATTATGAGCCAATTTTCACCTAAAATGCAGCATTTTATTCCAATTTTTACGATTTAATTGAAATGTACGTTATAAGTCATGAGTTACCTCTGAAAATGAAAAGTGAGTACCCTTGGGTTTAGGATAGGCTAATCCGAAAACAATGGAAATTTGAGGTCAATTATCTCAAGTGGCGGCAAAGCAACTTTTTGAGTTAAGTACAAAAAGATTGGGGGATACTACATAATTGATCTCCTAAAAGAAAAAAGATAACAAAATAATAAAGGGATTATCATATAATCCATTTGTTATAATCCATTATATCTCATAACTTGGCCATATTATTTTTTTCTTTTTGGAGATCAATTGATCCGAACCTGCACTGATTGAAATCAGTAGCCCGATTTTCCGTAAAAATGACAAACCAACGTCTGTCTGATATAGCATATCTTAAAATTTGCAATGAAATGTAAAACAATTTTGCTTTTAAAAAGCCTCCATTTTCAACGATTCTACCAAGATAGTGCTAGTGTCACTTCAGTTTTGTTTTCATGCGGATTTTCATGTCACGATTGTCACACTAACAAGATGGAATAAATCAGACACTGATAGTGTCACACAGATATTCATAGTAAAATGAGTTGAAAACGATGGGACATTGAAGCCGGAACTATAACCCAAAACCCCCGGAATTTAGAAATGTTAAAGTTGAGAAGTAGGCTATGCTTCCACAATTTCAAACGAGGATCAACTTTTGAATCAACAAAATATTTACACGTGAGTATTTTTCCGATCTTGTAACAACGTGTGCTATAAATCTGCAGTAGTATATGGAAAATAATATGACCGAATAATCAATCTCCAATGGTATATTTGTGTGAAAAGGTTTTCAAAAAAATTATGAACGATAAATGGCAAAAAGAGAATAAAAACATATTATCGCCCACCTGTATGTTTTTAATAATTTAGATCTAGAGTCAGTACGTCTATTTCCAAACACCCCCATCAAAAAATGTAGTTAGCTTGGCTGTACTGAACATCTATGCTATGATTCTATATATATTATGTGTATTATTCACTGTAGAATGCATTTGCAGAAAAAATTACGAAAAATTGTAAAAAATATCTGGGTTATTCCATTTTTACTACAAGGTATTTTAGGGGGGTAATTCCGAACAGGAGTTTTTTTGGGGGGTAAATCCGAACATTTGCATGGGGGTAATTCCAAACACTTAACTTAAACTTAATTGTTTTAATTATTAGATTGATGGTATATCATTATATGATACTCTTAAGGTCAGGGTGCATGATGGGAAATTTTCTGCATTCCTCAATTGAGTCACATGTTATTTTTCAAACAAGAATCACTCCTTCCCTTCATTGTTATATCTTCCAGTTTTGCACAAAGAGTGCACTTATGTGCCTAGAAAAGACTTGTGAGAAGATTGTTTTGATAAAGTGTTTAAAAAACAAGAAAATTCAGTGAAAAAAATCAGAAAATTTTTAAAAAACTTTTTCACTAAATTTTCTCATTTTTTATACATTTTACAAAATAAACCTTCCCACAAGGCTTTTCTAGGCACAGAAATGCACTCTTTGTGAAAACTTGGAAGATGTAGACAATGTGGGGAAGGAGTTATTCATGTTTGAAAAATAACATGTGACTCAATTGAGGAATGCAGAAAATTTCCCAACATGCACCCTGTCCTTAAGGTACAGCTGGAAAGTAACATTTTGGTAAAAAATTGCTATACCTGCACATGTTATTTTCTGGTACAAAATAAAGTATGAAGGCATGTGTCAATTTTCTTGCTTTTTTCAGGAAAGTATCATTACATTGTCTTCTTTTAGAATATCTGGTAGGGGTTCAATGGAAACTCCAGGAAATTCTGATATTTCACACTTTCTATTTTTCCAAATTTTCTTTCAAAATTTCCAGACAACACAGGAGCTACCATTGACCTGTTTCCAGATATTATAAAAGTAAACAGTGTAATGATACTTTCCTGAAAAAAGCAAGGAAATACACACATGACTTCATACTTAATTCTGTACCAGAAAATAACATGTGCAGGTATAGCAATTTTTTACCAAAATGTCACTTTCCAGCTGAACCTTAACTTATGATACTGGATCCTGTCACCCCTGCATATCAAGAAACCCAAATTTAAATCATTTATTACTGACATCTATTTATTTAAACGCACAGAGTTTGTGGGGGTAATTCCAAACACTAGCATGGGGGTAATTCCGAACACCTAAATCATCATAATTGATTATTTTATTGTTAGATTGTTGGTATACATCATTATATTGTATCTTTCAGGCTACAAATATTATGTACAGGTAGTAGAGGTACTATTATTCAATTCAATGATCTGCTTGCCATTATTTGGAACCCGTTCGTGTTTACTCCCCTGTTTGGATTTGGACGTATTGACTCTAGATTAGACTAGCTATACTCACAGGAGGAGATTTCCCCAATGTGAGCGATGCCACCAAATGGTGCCACTGTCACATTCGATGACGAATTTTATAAACTGGAACCTTTGGCCATTAGGCTCAGCTGGAAAGTAACACTTTGGTAAAAAATTGCTATACATGTTATTTTCTGGAACAAAATTAAGTATGAAGGCATGTGTATTTACTTGCTTTTTTCAAGAAAGTATCATTACACTGTCTACTTTTAGTAAACCTGGAAACAGGTCAATGGTAGCTCCTGTGTTGTCTGGAAACATTGAAAGAAAATTTGGAAAAATAGAAGGTGTGAAATATCAGAATTTCCTGGAGTTCCCATTGAACTCTTACCATATATTCTAAAAGAAGACAATGTAATGATACTTTCCTGAAAAAAGAAAGCAAATTAACCACATGCCTTCATACTTTATTTTGTACCAGAAAATAACATGTGCAGGTATAGCAATTTTTTACCAAAATGTTATTTTCCAGCTGTGCAGTGGTACTAACAGGAAATGACAATAACTGAAGTGACAATACCATGCTTGATTTCAAACATTTTTTGAACCAAGTTAACAGAGTTCTGTTTTGACCTCCAGTCAATTTAACTAGTTGCACATATTAATTACATGACCAAGATCACAATGTGTATGGTCAGAATGACCCCAAACATGATGAAATACCTTTTTCAGCCCTCTGAAAATGTGACCAAAAAATAACTAAAAGTAGGCAGTTAGGAAAGGTCACTGAACAGAATCTTTTGAATTTTTTCAGAAAATGTGCCCAATAAGTTGCTCTAAATGATACAATCTTTGAAATTTTAGAAAATTGTCTGAAACTAAAATGGCGGTCATTAAAAGGAAAATAGATCGCTTTTCAATTCAGTTTTTTTCATTTTTCATTTTTTTCTTTTTCTATGAATGACATCAAAGGATGAGTCTGGGAATGAGTCTGGGTATCGACTTAAAAAATATTGAAAATTGTAATGTCTGAAAAACCAACTCAATCACACATATTATTAAACTTCAATATCTATTCCTTCTTATGAGATTACAAAAATATCAATTTGTATCACAATTGATGAAGAATATTGGGATCAAAGACAGTGCATATCACTTTGTCAGAATTGAAAACAATCAATGGCAAATATTAAATGAATTATTTATACAAAAAGTGTGAAACATATCCTCCAAAACATTGCTTACTTTCTTTGTATAGACATTGAATGGTATTTCTGGATAAGTGAATTTGTGTTTATCTGGGTAATCAAGGGATTATAGTCACTCAAAGGTACTGAGCATCCAGTTTTGACACTTCAATTGTGTTGGTGAAGTTACACATATTTCAGTCAAATTCATGCTGAGCACAACATTTTGGTTTCAATTTTATTATCCCTATACATGACCCTGGTGATGAAGAGTCAGAATCAGTCAAAAAACCTAAACCGGAAAACTGTGCTCAATGTGAAAACTAAAAGTGAAGCAACTTTTTTCTGATATTTATTACATCAAATGGCAGCCATCTTGTTTTTCCCCCTTCAAATTAAACTGGCGGGAAATTCAAAAATTTGAAAAAGATTTTAATCCTTAAATATATTTCAAAAATATGATTTTCTTTTTAATTCTTCATGGAACTTAAGTTATTTCTTCTTTGTATGTCATACATGTTGCCATTGGTGTTTTTTCTATGATAATGACCCTTTTTCTATTATTTGTTAAGATACTTATTCGGACTCTCAACAGGGGGTTTATTATGTATCAAAACGCATGAAAAAGTAAATATACTTATCAAATATAACTAGGACAGTAATAAAAATCATATTTCAATACATTTGACTGAGGGACCAAAAGGGCATATATCCAGACACATCCTTTTCAAAGATTGTATCATTTAGAGCAATATATTGGGCACATTTTCTGAAAAATTCAAAAGATTCTGTTCAGTGACCTTTCCTATTAGCACCTACTTTTAGCTATTTTTCAGTCACATTTTCAGAGGGCTGAAAAAGGTATTTTATCATGTTTGGGGTCATTCTGACCATACACATTGTGATCCTGGTCATGTAAATGACATGTGGAACTAATTAAACTGAGTGGAGGTCAAAACAGAACTCTGTTATCTTGGTTCAAAAAATGTTTGAAATCAAGCATGGTATTGTCACTTCCTGTTTTAGTCATTTCCTGTCAAGTACCACTGCACCTTAAAATTGATATCAGAATGTGAACTGCTCCTCATTTCTGAATAGCCTATAATCATAAAGTTTAGAATCAAGATCCTGTAATCTATCGTAACTTAAAAAGGATTACCATAGTTTAGAAATTAGAATTGATGATGTACAACTGAGATATTTCAAATTTTGCTTTGCACATGCCCAACTTTAGGCAAATTTTGGCTCGTGATTGTTCACGTGATCTCAAATCCTGCAAATTGATATAATAGCATACATCGACTGATCTACAGATTGCTAATTATTAATGAGTGGCACAAAATAGCAAGTCATTCAGAATTACTTGCCATACTGTCATCGGCGTAGCGCCTAGTATGCCTGGTACCATATGAGCTTCAAGAGTGTTGAAAGCCCATGCTGGTACCCACAGGCGTACCAGATGGTTGCAAATACAGTGACTCCATTTGTCATAGGCGTAGCACCTGATATGCACAGGCGTACCAGATTGCAAATACAGTTGCAAATACACTGTAAATACAACAAAACTTCAACATTTTCTCAAAGTTTCTCCCAGACCCCCTGAACGTTTTTTCGCTTCCCTCAACTCATATTCCTGTGGTGGCATATAACTCATAAAATTAGGGCTATGCCCATGACTGTACCTGGTCCTTTAAAGTCTTTTTACACATGTTGGCGCATTTCATTACATTGACAAGGTATATTACTAGTATTAAAAATTACTATTGTGTAAAATGTAAACAGCATTAATCACACTAATTGTTATATAATTTCAGATGCGTCATATTGTTCACATTTTTCAACAAGGACTGAGGATAACCTTCTCCAGAAGTGCATTTACCTTCCTCGCCAGACCAGGTGAAAGAAACATGGCAACTGTATCAAACACAGAAGGAGGAGACAGTGAGAGACTCGAAGAAAAAGAAAATGGCAGAAATGAAAAGCAAATTGACCTTGGTGAAGTAAATATTGTTTCTGAGGGGAAAGCGCAGGTATTATTCCCAAAGTCTGTGTTCTATAACCCAGTACAGGAGTTCAATAGGGACTTAACGATACAAGTGATTAAACATTTTACAAAAAAATATATTCACAATAAACAAGAGAAAGAAAAGAAAAAAGCAGAAAAACAAGCCGATTCAAGCATGGCAGATCCAGAAAAGTCAAGTTTGCCATATATCGATGTTGAGAATTTAAAACCGGGTGAACATTATGAAAGAGGAGTGAAAATTTTGGAAGGATTAGCCGCGTCTGGGTTGAGATCAATGAGATTTGCACTCGAGATACCAGGTGTACAAAAAATCGTAGCAAATGATTTTGATGCCAATGCTGTAGAATTTATCAAACAGAACATAGCTAAAAACAAGGTAGGTCACATTGTTGACTTGAGCTGTAATGACGCTTCAATGGCGATGTACTCAAATAGACGATTTAGTTCGAGATATGATGTCATAGACCTTGATCCTTATGGGAGTCCATCCAAGTTTCTAGATGCAGCTGTACAAGCTGTTGCAGATGATGGGCTTCTGTGTATCACATGTACTGATATGGCTGTCATGTGTGGCAATGGTGTAGAGGCTGGCTTTGCTAAATATGGCTCTATGTCCCTGAAAGCAAAATTCTGCCATGAAATGGCTCTCAGAATAATTTTAAACAGTATCGAAACTCATGCTAATAGATATTCCCGATACATAACCCCTATGCTGTCCATAAGTGCTGATTTCTATATCAGAGTGTTTGTGAAAGTAAATACTGGTCAAGGTATTGTGAAAAAATCAATAGCAAAACGATCTATGGTGTACCACTGTGTTGGATGTGGAACATACAAATTACAACCCATAGGGAAATTGACACCAACAGGAAAGGATGGTTTGAACTTTCGTTACACCCCTGCCCAGGGACCTCCCACTGGTCCCACCTGTGAGCACTGTGGTAGTAGACACAATCTTGGAGGTCCTATATGGTCAGAGCCAATACATGACCAACAATTTGTGGATGAATTAATTGAGAACTTGACTAAGGCAGAGGAAAAGCCTAACACACATGAACGCATATTAGGTATGTACAATTAATTTTCTTCTTTTCTCGCAGTATCTGCATTCACTCTCATAGTTTAATTACATTCAGGTAGCAAATGTACAAAAATTACAGCTCAACCAAGAAATGATGAGAGGGACATTGTGACAGCATCCATTCATAGAATATTTTCAGAATATTGAATTTCCAGACCTTCATGACTGAGCAGTATCCTTCAGTCAGTATTCTTCTTAAGTCCACAAAGACCTCTATACTTCAGACCTTCAGAGTTATACCAAGAGCTTTTTTGTCTGCTGTTTGAACACCCTGCATTCATTGATCACTTTAAATTAAAGCCTACTTATCTTTTTTTCTTGAAGATTTAGGGTCCTTTAAGACTGTTGAGTGATATTCTCTGTGACACTTCCTCCAGCCAACCCTTTAAGATTTCTAAATGTATGGGAGCTACACTTTGATAAACTGATGTTTGAACTGTCCTGATGAACCCCAGATATTATATCTTTTTCTATATTTGCACCTTGTGAAACTTAAATTGACTCCATAATGACATGGATTGGGTTTTGCTATACTGTGAACTTGATGTTTTGTAATTCTGCAATTAATGTTCATGAATTTACATGCAGTTTTGTACAGAGGGTAGAATGTATACTTAGTGAAAGATACTGCTCCATGTGAATATCTATATGACAAATCCTTGAAAATATCTCCCATGAGAAAAGGAAAATATAGTATACGAAAAATAATGTTTTATACCAAGCTAGCCTAATAATGAGATGAGCCTGTTATTGAAATGATCATATGTAAATGTTAACGTTCAAAAGTAAATGTTCAATTCTCCCTTTCGCGGTTCGCTCTTTGAATCAGAACGTTCGCAAATATGTACTGAAAAAGCACTCAAAAAGGACAAAATTTGATTGGTCAATATTTTCCCACTATGCATTTCGCGTAGCTATTTGCGTGACCCGAAAGTTCTAAATCAAACTAATTACCCAATTTTGTTTTTACACCCGCACGCTAAATAAAACAATGACACCGTCGGAAGTATTCTTCCTTGTCACTGCTTTAATAGTCAGTTTACCGAGTTTAATCAATAAAAGATTGTACAATGAACAACAAAATTCGGAAACGAGTACTATAGATTTGCTTTCGGACCACTGAACAGATTGACCTAGATAATAGCGACGCGTCTTCTTTGGTCTACTGCTCAGTTGTTTGTGGGTTTCCAACATAACTCTATAATGTAATTTGAAGATGAATACTTTTATTCAGTTGTTGCATCGATGTTGCAGTTTGTAGTGCGGTAAGATTGGCATGAAAGTATTGAAAGTCGAATGGAATTGTTTTTTCCAATATGGCGACTAGTCAACTGATCACGTGACCTTCTCTTCCGTAATATTTTCTCACTTTTCAATCATCGTTTTCACCACGCTTTGAATCAATACAAAGAAAAAAATAGCTGTTATATTAAGATAAATAAGAGATCAATCATTTCTAATATTTTTTTCTGTACTCTCGTACGGGAATATGAACGAATATATCGTTTGAAAAATAGGTGTGAAAATCCCCATGTTAAACCTATGAGGGAAAACAAGGAAGTATAAATTTGTTCCTCCGCGAAATGCATCATGGGAAATATTTTGACCTTATAAGGAAAGATTTTCGCGTCTCTTTTGAAGAGGGAACAACGATTTCGAGAATTTAAATTGTCTCATCAAGATATCAATATCCATGAGTGGTGATAAATGATATTTTAAAAATAACATGATAACATGATAGGAATATCACGAGTGAGCGAAGATGTTGATATCCATGAGTATCAAAAATTCTGAAAAAAATGAAGAAGTGAAAAAAGTTCACTTTTGAAACCGTCGAATATCACCTTTTAAAAAGTGATATTAGATGGTTTCGTATAGGATATAGTTCACCTAACCATAGACGTAGGCCTATTTGGTATACGTCCATGACCTAACAAAGCATTTCAAAACAACATTCAGTTTTATTTTGTCATTTGAACTGTCAAAATATTAATCATTGCCATATTTGTGACGTCATGAAATCAACATGTAAGCTCATGGAACAAAGCACATCACATTTGCGAAAGCTTTCAAATCAGTGGAAAAAAGTGATATCTGTGGAATATTCTCTGTATTCCATAGATATCGCTTTTTTCCACGTATTTGCAAAATATCGTTAATATATATATATGTGTTATTCTACAGATTTGACATCAATTATGGGATAAAAAGTGATATTCAATGGTTTCAAAAGTGATATTCGATGGTTTGGGGATTTTTTGCTGAAATATGATATCTTGATTCACATATCAAATATATCTTCACGTGATATTCGATCTATATCCTTCAAACCATGGGATAAATAGGATTATCATTTTATCTCATGGTAAATCATAATGAACATTAATTTGGTAGGAAATTAAAGGTTTGGGAAAATATAAAATTTCTGGCATTTTACATTAAATTTTTAATCATTTGACCATTGTTTGCTTCAAAACCCATCAATAAGATTTTTTGACAAGATTTCATGATGGAATGGTAGATCTGAACTGGCCTCCTAAATGTTTTCTCCACAAGTCCAAAAACTGATAGAGGAAGTGAACTGGAATTAGCTGAGACCAATGTACAAAAAAGAGACCTATATACAGGGTGGGCCAAAAAAACAATACCCGAGTTTAAAGATGAATATCATTTGAAATATGTTAAATCTTGCCTTATATTATACATCGTTTAAAAGATAATTCTTTTCCTAACAATATGACACCTACCGATTGAAAAACCGATTGACACTCCTGGTGTCGAATTCAGCCTCTAACTCCACAAGAGTACAATGGATTTTCAATCAGATGGTATCAAATTGTTTAGAAATGATTTATCTTTAAAATATTATAAAATATATGACATGGTATAAGATATATCATATGAATCATCCATCTTTAAACTTGGGTATTGTTTTTCGGCCCACCCTGTATATAATATTTCATCAAAAAGTGCAATGAAACAAATGAGCAGATCAAAAATTCCCATTGTATTTTAACGAATTAACAAATTCTTTTACAGTAAATGACTCTTGATATTTTGAGTGCTAGTAATTAGGCAAAGCTGCCCTCCATCCAGCCTGTAGCTGAGCGCTCAGCAGATCCACATCAGTATCATAGTCCTCATCTTCTGCTCGATTCACATTCTCATCAGGGTCAATAGAGTGGTCATACAGCTCATTTGCAAACATAAGGTCCCAGTCAGGAGTGGAGGTGGTCGTGTTAAAGGTCACCCACTCAGTGTACCTGTATCTATCTGTACGCATGCTGTACCCCATCAATGGCCCAACATCACGTCTATTACGGGGGTACTGCATGAAAACTCTTGTCTTGCCAGGAATATTTGGGTTGCTCATCAACGACACGAGGCTTGTACCTTCAGTGCAGGCTTGAGGGGTAGGGCCAGATTGTGGGCAAAGGGGGACAGCAGGGAGCTCAGCTAGCTCAACCAGAGTGGAGTAGATATCTGTATATTCTACTAGGTGGCTAGACATCAAGCCTTGGTCTGTCAGGCCAGGGACACGGAACATCAATGGCGTCCTAGTAGCCAGTTCAAAATTAGTGTGCTTACACCAGGCTGTGTGTTCATATAACTGCCAGCCGTGATCACTTCCAAACATCACAATTGTATTGTTTCGGAGACCTAACCCATCAACTTCTTCCATGATCTGGCCAAATAAAGTGTCAACATAGCTGACAGAAGCATAGTATGCTCTGCGGAGGTCCAAAACCAGTTCACTTGGCCATGTTGTATTAGGTCTCCCTGAAAGACCTAAATCAATGATATCAGCATACTGGTTACGTATTTCCCCATTATAATGCCAAGCGTACCCTGGCATGTTTTGTGGTACATATGGGTTAGAAGGCTGTTTGATGTCACTCTGAGGGTAATACTGCAGGTATCTTTCAGGGAATATGAAAGGCAGATGAGGTAAGCGGAACCCCACAGCCATGAAGAAGTTTTCTTCTCCACTGATAGCCTTAGGTGCTAGTCGTCTCAAAGTTGCTTTTGCATGGTCAGTTAATTCCTGGTCACCCAGAGGATGCTCCTGTTCCAGTGATTCATTGATGGCTCTCCAGGATTTTTCATTGTGTCTTGGATACCAATAGTTTCTTTGACTAGGTGAATTGTAGTATTGTTCATCATCTGACCATGATGGACGGTCGTTATTCCCACCTCCTGAAGACCCAGGGTGGAAGATCTTCCCCATGCCAAGGGTACGGTAGCCTTGTTGTTTAAAATACTGTGGGATAGTTGTGAAATCTCCGCTGACATTTCTGAAGTAGTCATCCAGGTTATAAACCTTGGTTGTATCAGGACGTCGACCAGTCATAAACGATGCACGACTCGGGCCACAGATAGCTTGCTGTACATAGGCTTTCTTGAAAACAGCACTGCGTTCAGTGAAAGCATCCAGATGGGGTGTATACATTTTGTCATGCATTTGTCTGTAGGCCTCATTATCATGCATGGCTGCTATCTCAGGCCTCAGGTCATCAGCAACAATAAACAGGACATTCTTCCTAGCTTCAGACCCCTGGAAGAAGAGGATCAATGTGAATGCTTGCATCAACCACATTATTGCCAATATCACCGCAATTGTTCAAACTGCACTTTAGATAAGAAACTTTCTAATGTTTTGTAACTTATTTTATTAATAATCGTAGAGGCCTAGTTTAACCTTGATTTGGAGATAATGGAAAAAGGTGTGTGTTAGAGAACTAACATTTGTTTCTGCTACTTATATATTGCTTGTTATTAATAGACTTGGGGCAAGTTACAGTTATAAAGACCAAGTCAAAAAGTATTTTATTACACATGATTTCATAAACATCAATAAAAGTACAACAAATTGCATTTGTTATATTAACGAAGTAGAGAACATTTTATAAAAATAGGATGCAGAAAAAAGTCATTGGAAATTTCTTACAATTGATGATAATCAAATGTTCATCATAATTTTTCAAAGTATAAGTTTATACTTTATATTTTAAATATCTACTGATGGTAGAACTTTAAGTTATTTGTAAATCACTTTAATAGCTATAGTATCCTCAAATCGAAGCTATGTTAACTTTAGTAAGATCACAATTAAAGATATTTCGCAAATGTTGGGTAGACATTGTTTTTCCCGGATGCACAAACGTGTCAGGAACATATAGATACTTGAATGATCTTGATTGCACATCAGGTTGCAGAGAAATTGTAATTTTACTGAGTGGCTTCACTAAAAAAATAAAAAGGCTATACGCCTCGTTAAATAAATACTTATTTTGTTAAGACATCTAGTTATTGGTAGGGAATCATAGTGATATTTGGCATGAAGTCATATTACTATAAGCACCTTATGAGCAAAGAATTTGGAGGAGAAAATTATTCTTTTTTGGTGAAAAGAACATAAAAATTGATCAATGAAACATTCCTAATATGGGGTTCCATTAGCAGCAGGCAACAGGCGATTTTCACTGGTTGTTTTCACAAAATCGCCTGATGTTTTTAGGAACATTTCATCTTTTCCATGTTAAATTTACGATTTCCATTAATTTTGCAAATTATTTTCATTTGATTATTATGTCACCACCAAAAAGTGATGACATATGTTATGGTCTCCATGTTTTGTTACAGCAGTTGGCGATCGGCGGGTGGAGGTTGGTGGTTGGCGACCTACCTCTGTAACAAATTCTTAAACTTTCAATAACTTAACAAATTTTGTTTACTCTGACTTCAGTTTTTCTCAAAATCATCTATAAGTTTTCAAAAGTTCAAATCTGACTTTACCCTCAGTGATCTTTTCAAGGTTAAAAAAGGTAAATGAGGTTTTTTCAACTTGCTTCAAATTGACCCAATTCTTTTCAAAATCATTCACAAGTTATCAGAAGTTCAAATCTGACTTTTGATTTGATATTTGACTTTTATTGACATTCTCAAGGTCAAAAAATGTCAAACGGTTCTTGCTTCAAAATGACCAGGTTTTTTTCAAAATCATCTAGAAGTTCTCAAAAGTTTAAATCTGACTATAGATTTGACCTTCAATGATATTCTCAAGGTCAAAAAATATTTTACCTTCAATGACCTTCTCAAGGTTAAAGAGGTCTTTTTCAAGTTTCTTCAAATTGACCTATTTTTTCAAAATCATCTACAAGTTTTCAGAAGTTCAAATGTGACTTTAGATTTGAGATTTCACCTTCAATGACCTTCTCAGGGTCAAAAAGGTGTTTTTTCAACTTGTTTCAAATTGACCAATTTTTTCAAATGCATCTTCAAGTTCTCAGAAATCGAAATCTTAAGATTGAACTAATAATATGAGCAACTAGGTGGTGACATTTTGTCATCTTAATGCCTTGTTTAGCCTGTTATGAGAAATTCTAGTGAAACCCCTGCTATTTTAAGTACATGTCTTTGTGAAACGCCAAACTTCAATTTACTTATACTTGAAATGTATAGCTACGGTATATGCACAATTGCACAAATACAAGTTATGCTTTTAAATATGCGTGAAAACTCTATTGTATCATTTATCTAATTCAAGCCTTAGAAAATAGTTAACAAATACCAGATATATTGTGTGATGTGTAAAATGAAGCCTTCTGATTGGTCGGTTCTTGTGCTGTACCAATCTGTATTGCTACTGACATTGTCCCCATTGATTATATCCGTAGCAATACAGAAAATATTGATATGGAGGGGATAATCCCAATAGCAATACATAGCGTACAGAATATTTCTCACGGATTATCAGTAAAATATATTGGCCTACAATCACACTATAAAAATGATACTTGTACACAATTATTAAATGATGGGTTTATGATACATTTATTGGTTAAAATAAGTGTTCACAGGTGAAATCAAATATTCTATATTTCTTTAAATTATTGAAAGATGAAAAGTTATTGCTTAGCATTGGTCCACAATTATAGTTTCACAAGTTTTAGGGATGTATTGTTATCCAAATGAAAATTATGCTTTTATTATAGTTATTAAAATGTAACGCTCAATTTTATCTAAAATCAAAAATTTTTTAAGTCCCTGGGGATAGAGGTCCATGGTCCATAGCTAAACAACTCTGATTCCAGCCAATCTGAACACAGTATTTCATATAACTGCAGTACATTATATAAACAATCACCGCATCCAAGATCATCTTTATGTGGTTGTCAAGGTGACAACTTGACTCCACAGATTGAAATTGATGCTTTGACAAACCTTCGCAAACAATTCCATTGAAAATATATTGTCTTAGTGATTTCTTATCTAAAGACTTTACATCTAAGACTAGGATAAATGGCCATCCCTTTCAGGTGCTGTTTCCTAGAATTAAAACTAGATGCTTTGCATCTCGTGCAAACTTTGGAAAGCAAAATCTTCAAGGAATGGTCATTCCATATTGCACTGAGTCCAGAAAGTACACATAGGTTGAAAGCAAACTTGAGAAATCAATCTATTCTTCAAATTCTCAAAAAACTGAAAATCAAGCTGAGCATTGACATTTTAATTGAAACAGTTTGTATAAATCATGGCATGTGGATAAAGTTCCTTCTTTTCATTTCAAGGTGTATTGAGCATGGTATCTGAAGAACTCTCTGATGTTCCACTGCACTACACATCTGATGGCCTTTGCTCTATCATTCATTGTACTTCACCTGATTCAATGCAGTTTAGGTAGGTCTTTTAACAGGTGAATAACATGTAGGATTTGATTCCCTTACTCAACAATGGTTCAGTAATACAGCTTGTCTCACATTCAAGACATGTATTTATAATGGTACATTAAATGACTTTATCCTTGGACTCAATGAATTGTTGATGGTTTAAAGCATGATGGTCTTCTATGAGCTTATATGAAGACACTGGACACCGGTGCATTAAATGACTTAATCATTGGACTCAATGAATTGTTGATGGTTTTAAGCATGAGGGTCTTCTATGAACATACATGTATATGAAGACACTGGACACGGTGCATTAAATGACTTAATCATTGGACTCAATGAATTGTTGATGGTTTTAAGCATAAAAGTCTTCTATGAGCTTATATGAAGACACTGGACACCGTTCATTAAATGACTTTAATCCTTGGACTCAATGAATTGTTGATGGTTTTAAGCATAAAAGTCTTCTATGAGCTTATATGAAGACACTGGACACCGTTCATTAAATGGCCCACAATTCATTGAGTCATGCACTGCTTAAATCCAATCCACATTTAGTAAAAGATTTTATATAATATGAGTAAGGGTTTTTGCAAGGTCAACATTTTGACTTGCATAAGCTACTACTTGACTATTCATTATAATAATCTTCATTTTATAATGATTCTACCATTCATAGTTTTTCATTTGACTGCCAACTTGAAAATACATTTATATTTTTCTACATGGTGTCACATATCTGTTTTGCAGGTCTGCGATACTTAATGCTGGGTACAGGGTATCTTTTACACATACAGCAAAGAACTCAATAAAAACAGATGCACCAGCACATGTTCTATGGGTAATGTATATTTGATGCTCAGGGTGTTGTTAAGATCAAAAAACAAATTTAAATAGGCGAGGCAAACTGTTATACTCATAATTCTATGAGACATCATTTTAACAGTTTTAATCAATAAAACAGAAGAAATATTCTATGAAATTTTGATAAGCAGCTGTTTCAGCCGTCAGCACCAATAATATAAGAGTGAGGTCTGGTTAACTCCATTTTTATCCCAACGAACGAAGATATAGTAAAGCCCTCCGTCCGTCCCTCCATCCGTCTGTCCGTCCATCCGGAAGATAACTTGAATACTAGTTGATGGATTTTCTTCATATTTGGTGGAAAGATGTATATTGATGAATAGTTTTATGCTTAAAAAATATTTTCAAGAAGGCCACCGGTTAAAAATGGCGGGATTTTTTCTTCATTTTCTAAAGTAAAAGTAATGAATATTATTATTTGAAATTTTAATACTGTAGTATATTCACAACCTCTATCTTTTTCACATATATTCCGTGTTTTTACCCTGACCCCCAGGTTTCTCTGATTTGGGCCTCGTAAAATTCAAAATATATTATATTCAAATTGAAGGAATTTTAGAGTAGATCACAATTATTGTATTGTTTTTATTAGCTCACATGGTGAGCTTTTGCAATCACTCACTTGTCCGTCTGTCTGTCCGTCCGTCTGTCTGTCTGTCTGTCCATCAACAATAGTGGCACGTTTTAAAACCTCTGTCGATAGGATTCCTGTTTTAAGTTATTTCTGTTCAACATCAATACAGAAAACCCCCCTATGACTCCTGGTTCAAAAGCTCGCCTATTTTCAAAATGGCCGTCACTTTTGTCTCGCGAAATTCACTTTTAGCCCATTTCCTAGCTAACCTCTGTCGATAGGATTCCTGTTTTAAGTTATTTCTGTTCAACATCAATACAGAAAACCCCCCTATGACTCCTGGTTCAAAAGCTCGCCTATTTTCAAAATGGCCGTCACTTTTGTCTCGCAAAATTCACTTTTGGCCCATTTCCTAGCTTTACAAATAATTTCAGGTGTCCTACATTGTAAAAATCCATGTCAATGTAAAGATTAGATATATGAAATAATTTTGTTACAAAAAATCAGCGAAAAATTGTATCCATTTTTTTATTTTCAGCCATTTTAGTTAACATTGATTTGTCTATCTGACTCGCGAAATCCACTTTCTGCCAATAACAGTGGCACGTTTTAAAACCTCTGTTGATAGGATTCCTGTTTTAAGTTATTTCTGTTCGACATGAATTCAGAAAACTCCCCTATGACTCCTGGTTCAAAAGCTCGCCTATTTTCAAAATGGCCACCATTTTTGTCTCGGGAAATTCACTTTTGACCCGTTTCCTAGCTTTACAAATAATTTCAAGTGTCCTACATTGTAGAAATCCATTGCAAAGTAAAGAGTAGATGTATGAAATAATTTTGTTACGAAAAATCAGCGAAAAATTATATCCATTTATTTATTTTCAGCCATTTTCAGCCATTTTAACATTGATTTGTCCATCTGTCTCGCAAAATTCACTTTTGGACCATTTACCTTAAACCCTCTGTCGATAGGATTCCCATTTTAAGTTATTTTTGTTCAACATCAATACAAAAAACTCTCCTTTGACTCTTGGTTCAAAAACTTGGCTATTTTCAAAATGGTTGCCATTCTTGTTTCGCGAAATTCACTTTTTGCCCATTTCCTAGCTTTACAAATAATTTCAGCTGTCCTGCATTGTAAAAAGCCATGTCACTGTAAAAGGAAGTTGTATGAAATAATTTTGTTACAAAAAATCGGCAAAATATTATATCCGTTTTTTTTATTTTCAGCCATTTTAGTTAACATTGATTTGTCCATCTGTCTCGCGAAATCCTCTTTTGGACCATTTGCTTAAAACCTCTGTCGATAGGATTCCAGTTTCAAGTTATTTTTGTTCAACATCAATACAAAAAACTCCCCTATGACTCCTGGTTCAAAAGCTTGCCTGATTTCAAAATGGTCGCCATTTTTGTCTCGCGAAATTCAATTTTGGCCCATTTCCTAGCTTTACAAATAATTTCAGGTGTATTGCATTGCAAAAAGCCATGTCACTGTAAAGAGTAGTTGTATGAAATAATTTTGTTACAAATTATTGGCAAAAAATTATATCCGGTTTTTTTTCAGCCATTTTAATTGACTGAGAGACAGATGTCTTGAAATAATTTTGTAACAAAAAATCAGCAAAAAATTATATCCGTTTTTACCATGTGAGCCCAGTACCCACGGTACTAATTTTTCGGATTTGTGCCTCGGAAAATTTAAAATGGCTGCCTAGAGCAGGAATTCACCATTACTTAGAGAGGTGTATTTGTTGAGCATGCTGCTTAAATTTAAAGAGGTCATTTTGGATATTCCGTTATAAAATTTAAAAAATCTCTTATGTCTTGTCTATGCATTTTTATTTTTGATGGATTGATACCCAATTTTCAGGGATGCTTTTTGTTATGAAAATCTACAAGTTCTTTATTGCTTTAAAATGCTGGGTAAATCAGGTGAATATAGACAATATATCTACTTCCATTTAGTCTATTATCACATATTAATTATGCAGTTTATCACACATCACACATATTTGTCATTGGCAGATTGCCCTAAAGTGGACGTCTTTTCTTAGAAGGCAAAATTGCCTCTATTCAGCTTTCACAAAAATCTGTAATCAGACTGAGATAAATTTTCTCAATGGTCCCTCAAATGGAAAAAGTGGAGAAATTATTTTTAAAAAGTCAAGAAGGAAAGATCTAAAGTACCCCATTTCTCACTTTTCTTTGAGATCACATACAAAATACAAGAAATTATTGACAAATGACACGCAATATTGAATCATATTCAGGTCTTGAAAAACAAAAGAAAATAAAGACATTATGCGAAGATACTAAATTGAAAAAACGTATCTCTGTTATTCATAGTTCCCAAACTAGAATATGGAAGTGTTTTCTTTGAAAAAGAAACTAAATACAATCTCACTTGACTTGATCTGATGCACAACACTATAGAGGTGCCCTATTAAATAATTAGGTGCATTCAAGGAACCTCAAAAATCATATTATTTAAATCTTTGAACTGGAATGACCTTATGACCAGGAGAAATGACAAATGCTTAAATCAAATATGCAAAGTGAAAATGAAAAAAAAGACCTATTGACCAGCATAGAAATCATATACAAGACCTAAACATCACCAATCATAACAGCAGTGAGAGAAGGGGAAAAGCTCTCAAGAAATATATTTGATTTATTTCCAGGACATTCTCCGTGAGTGGGTGAAGGAAAACCCTGTATCTTCGAAGAGACTAACCGAGGGTTCTGTAGTGAAGAATCTGCTTGATAAAGAGATTACAACAAAGAACATATCATTTGAGCTTCATCCAGATGCCAACCCTGCCTCTAGACAATCTAAACTTTTGAGGTAATATAAACATGTGAATATATTGTCTATTATACCACTCTAAGTCCGATTACAGTTGTATAACATGGGTCTATAACAACGATATACAGTGCAGAGTGGTATATCGTCATCGTATACAACTCCTCCGTATACACTCCAGCGTATACCACTGTAGAAGTGCATTCTGGGAACTAATGAATATTGACCGAAGAACGAGGTGAATGTTTTGTTACATATGATTTCCTAGAATCAAGTGACGTCATAAATGGTTCCCACATGATTTGCTAGAATCAAGTGACGTCATAAATGGATCGAGATCAACATCGGCATTACTGAGTTGGCTATGGGATATTTTTATGGTTTTTATAATTGTTATGATTGTGTTTGAATCAACTGTAATTGAACTTAGAGTGGCATAATAAGATTATATAATGGTTCATTCTGTATATCGTGTTTATACTCGAGTGAGTATATAATATATTCACAAGTGAGCGTAGCGAACGAGTGAATATATTATATTCTCACGAGAGTATAAACACGATATACAGAATGAACCATTATATAACCTCATAATATACTCCTACAGAGGCACTGTATGATAAAGGGTACAATTTTGGTATCCCTGATATTTTAATGCCTAATTTTGTCATAAATTATTAATCAGACTGCACAGATCACAAAAACAACTTATCTTAATTAATATATCCCAGTTGAATCACCTTCTGGAGATGTTTATCTGTATGTTGACAGACTTTTGAACTTACTGATTGAAGTTGATTCTAGTGCTTTAGAGGATCGTCAAATAAAATTAATAATGATGTCTGTTATGATTTTCAATAAAACAAAATGGTAAAAGAGTTACAACTCTACTGTTTAAAAGTATGATCGCTATTCTCGGTTTTTGCATTAGTGGTCCCCTTTATGTTAAATACAACATTTGAATCTTCCTGATGATTTCAATCTTCAAATATTATTCTTTTTCTACAAATGACAACTCTGCTGTGTATTATGTATAGATATCCTCATTTAATATATATACAAATCATATAAACTGATAAGGACATAAGGACATAGGTTTGACTACCAGGGTTGATCATAAAGTTCTCATAATATCTCTCTAATTTCTTTATTTTTCAATATATTCTAATGAAATTTTCAGAGAATGTGCAGCATCGTCTTATTAACTCAGCAAAAAATATTAAGTTTAACAGAAATATTGAATAAGAAATGGTTGCCATAGTAACGGGAAATCAAGGCACCCGGGGCAAATAAAAGTGATTGAGAGAATAGCTCTAATTAAGCATGTTAACACACATAATAAACTCTCATAAATGACCAAACACGTTCAAATGTTAACTTGAATATGTTGTTAAGTGCTTTTTATTATTAAAAAAAGTGATCATATGGATTGTGTGATGCCATCCCAGCCTTTCAGTAGGTTCGCTTTAGGTGATATATTTAACTAGGATTTCTAGGTTCGCTTTAGGTAGTTCCCCATATAAAAACTCCATTGGTAGGTTCGCTTTAGGCGATGTTCAAATATGCTAATCAGGTCTAGGTTTACTTTAGGTGATCACCTAAAGCGAACCTATAACTACCTATAACTACCTAAACTACCTAAAGCGAACCTAGGTAGGTTCACTTTAGGTAATTATAGGTTCGCTCTAGGTAATTATAGGTTCACTTTAGGTGGTCACCTAAAGCGAACCTGAATCTAATTAGCATATTTGAACATCGCCTAAAGTGAACCTAAAACTACCTAAAGCGAACCTACGTAGGTTCGCATTAGGTAAATACTTCCAAGGGCTGGGTTGGCTTTAGACCACCCAGCAGCTGGATGACTTGATTTGTTGATTTGAACTGTTTATATATTTCTCACACATTTTGATGCATATATTCTCACGCAAGTACATTTATTTACAATGATGGTCCTAAGCTGGCCTATGGAGGTAGCCGGGTGTCTGGACCCTACAAACTTGTGAACTGTATAGGCTATGTCAACTGTTTATTTATTTCTCACACATTTTGATGATTAGTTTCTCACTCAGGTACATTTATTTAAAATTCCTCCTATTTTATAATTGCATGCTTTTATAATACACTTAACCTCTTGAATACCAGCCTCTAAAAAGGGTTTGAAACCAGAGTATTGTTTATTTTTTGATATTTACATCTAAAAACACAACAGTTGATGTTTGATTTCATAAGAATAGTAAACATAGACCCATTACATTCATTTTAAAACATCATTTGTGAAGATTGGATAAAAATTGCCAAAGTTAGAGCAGTTTTAGTGAAAAATTCTGTGACAGATATATCCGTCATTCTGGGTATTCAAGAGGTTAAAATAATATATTGATTGATCATTTGTACACTTACTTACATGTACTTTGTAAATGAGCACTGATGTGATGGTCATTTCAGCATATTTCCCCATTTTCCTGGCTATTTCGGTTATAATGAAAACACGCGCTACGCGCTAACGCGCCACGCGCCAATGCGCTAATAGAAAATGATCCCTCCCCCATGATGTGTGCGCATGTTTTAAGCGCATGTTTATGATTGGTCTATACCCTTGGCCCAGGGACATGTATAATTATGGTTATGACTCCCTGGGAACTTGTCAAAACATTGACAGTTCAAAGACTGTATAAATCACCGCTAACCTGTCAATCAGACTTTGATGTGAACTTTGCGGCCGCAGGAAATAAACAAAGCCTCTCGAAAATTACACTTTTCAAGTTACGATTTCTCTAAAAATATAAGACCAATTAAGATGTTCTTCACACCGTTAAAAAAAAGAAATCGACTTCAATTTAGGAAATAATTCCAAAACTAAATGAACGTGTACTTTTCTCTGTATTTGACCTAAAAGAACATGAGTAACTTAGAATTAATAAATATTTACGGCCAATTACCGGACAATGATAAAACATGCTGGTCAGGTTTACATTACTTTTTAAATCGTCTCTTATTTAAAACTTTAATTCCAAATGAAATACAATCCTGTTTTCAACAATATTCCTGATAGGTAATACAATTCACTGGGACTGACGTAATTCAAAACTTTTTAAATCTAAAATCAAATTGAGAAAAACGAAAGCAAACATGAAAGGGGGGTTTATAGGGGTCTTGGAAATCCATATACACTATTTTTCACTAGCCCCTCAGTCTTATACCATTTACAGCATTTTCACCCCTTTTACATGTATAACATACAGTGTATGCAATATTTTTCACATCTCCCTGTAGTACTATACTTTTACAAAAAGCTCGGGTAAATAATCTGTACGATAATTTTGAAATTACCGTTGAGAAAAGTTAGGATAATATTCAGAAGGAAATAACATAATGCAAGAATCCACGTAGTACCAAATGTATAATCATACGGCAAATAGGCAGTACACAGCCCCGAAGCCAGGGGGGTTCGGAGAGTGACTTTGGATTTTTTTTTGAAAAAGTGCCCCCCCCCCCTGGGAAATCCTGGTTACTGTCCTGTCCTGTGGGACTGATTTTTCAAATCACCCCCACAACCAGGCCCGTAGCCAGAGGGGGAGCTGGGGAGCTGGGGAGCGGAGCTCCCCCTCTGGCCAGAGATTCTTTCAAAATCATGCAGTTTCTCACCATTCTGAGAATTTTTTCATGATTATTAGCCAAAATTGTGAAAAAGCTTCCCCTGGAAAAAGGCTTCCCCTCCTGGTAAAAGCTGGCTACGGGCAAGCCCCCACAACTACTTGTGTATTGAAATCCCAAATTTATGGGGATAAGCTGGATCTGCAGTATTCGTTCAAACTGTACTTTAAATTTCATAATAGGCTTCTTTAATTCTTTTAAAACATATGTTTATTTAACTTATACGATGCCATATACGATAAATGTTGCCCCCTCTTATGCAGTCATACACAATAGATTTTCACCCTCCTCTTATACGATAACCCTATACACCCCCCCCCCCATGAAAGCGAAAGAGTGTAACAGGGCATGAAAAGAAAAATGGAAAAATATAAATGCGACGCCTGAATTATCCCACCGTTTGGTAAGTCATGAGAGAAATAACTTCAAATACAAAGAGTAAAGATATATAAAACATCCATGACTTGATATTAAGAGGTAACATGCGACAAATAGGAGAAGTTGGGCCCCCGGCTCAGATTTCGAAACGGGATTTTTCTCGCCGATGGATGGACCCAAATAATGCAATGAAAATGAAATAGGGAGCATATTCGCATATCTGCGACCATTCATCTTGTAAGGTGCTACTTTCTATTTATCTTCCTTTTAAATCAGATAAAACACACTGACAATCGATAATCTTTGCACAGTTAACGTAACGATCAAACATTGGGCTTCTTCATACTTCTGCTTTCTGATGCGCCACCTAATCTCTTCACTCACTCGAGTTTTATACATGTTCCCGGGCCTGTGGGAACGATCATTCTGAACAGTGCGTTAGTGCGCTAGCGCGTTAGCGCGTAGCGCGTGTTTTCATTATAACCGGCTATTTCCAAATTTCCTGTCTAACTGATTTTAGTTTGAATATTATACCCACAATGCATTGATACTTCCTGCTATCAGCGCCTTTAGTGGCTGTGACAGAACTTCTGTTTTGTAGGTTTGCTTTAGGTAGCTTTAGGTAGCTTTGGGTTCGAACCTAAAACTACCTACAAGTTTGAAGTGTTTTAGGTAGATTTAAGATTTTTAGGTTCGCTTTAGGTAACTCTTGAAGAATGACTATGTTCGCTTTTAGGTTCGCTTTGGGTTCGAACCTAAAACTACCTACAACTTTTCGATTTTTTTAAGTGTTTTAGGTAGTTTTAGGTAACTCTAGATAATTTCTAAGATTTTTTGGTTCGGTTTAGGTAAATCCTGAAAAAGTATAACATTTTTAGGTTCGCCTTAGGTTCGAACCTAAAACTACCTACAAGTTTCTGATTTTTTTAAAGTGCTTTAGGTAGTTTTAGGTTCGAACCTAAAGCGAACCTACATGAAGTAGGTTCGTTTAGGTAGCCATCAAATTGTGGGATTCACTTTTAGGTTCGCTTTAGGTTCGAACCTACATCACCTACTGAAAGGCTGGGATAGGTGGTGCTTTCATGCTTCATTGGGTATGATACCAGAGTATGAGACTCAAAGCTAATGATTAGAAATGACTGAGTAAGATAATGCAATAGATGTAGAGATCTTCTTAAAAATAAAATTCATACTGACAAAATGTTATGTTAAGCATGTAGATCCTTTGGTCAGACTAAGCATGATCTAAAACAAATATATTGCTAAGATATCAACTGAATTATACCCTGTGTGTGGTCTGAACATGTTAAAAATGATCTAAAGGGACAAAATCAATATTTTCGGAATATTTGACAAAACAGTCAAAGGGTCTAACAGTCACTTCTTATGAAGCATAACAATCATCCATTATGAGACCATACAATTTACATGACCATTATAATAGTTCATAACAGTCAAAAGCACATATTTGACAATTTAATGTGTTTGATAGCTTATTTGACAACTTATTATGTATTTAAACATGGTTAAGGAGGGCTATTTTAGCTAGTTTTTGTATTTGCCCCGGGTGCCTTGATCTCAAGTTACTATGGCAACGCTTTCTTGTCTAACTTTTCTGTTATTCTAAATATTTTTCTCTGGATTAATGAAACATTCCATGCTGCACATTCTGTCAAGATTTCATAAGAAAATATTGAAAAATAAAGAAATTAGAGAGATATTATGAGAACTTTATGATCAACCCTCGTAAGTTAACTTAAGGTATAACTGATTGTTGATAAAGGATGAGTCTGGGAATGAGTCTGGGTATCGACTTAGAAAATATTGAAAATTGTATTGTCTGAAAAACCAACTCAATCACACATATTATTAAACTTCAATATCTTATCCTTCTTCTGAGATTACAAAAACATCAATTTGTATCACAATTGATGAAGAATATTGGCATCAAAGACAGTGCTTGTCACTTTGTCAGAATTGAAAAAAAATCAATGGCAAATATTAAATGAATTATTTATACAAAACGTGTGAAACATATCCTCCAAAACATAGCTTACTTTCTTTGTATAGACATTGAATGGTATTGCTGGATAAGTGAATTGGTGTTTATCTGGGTAATCAAGGGATTATAGTCACTCAAAGTAACTGAGCATCCAGTTTTGAGACTTCAATTGTGTTGGTGAAGTTGCACATATTTCAGTCAAATTCATGCTGAGCACAACATTTTGGTTTCAATTTTATAATCTCTATACATGACCCTGGTGATGAAAAGTCAGAATCAGTCAAAAAACCTAAACCGGAAAACTGTGCTCAATGTGAAAACTAAAAGTGAAGCAACTTTTTTTCTGATATTTCTTACATCAAACAGCAGCCATCTTGTTTTTCCCCCTTCAAATTAAACTGGCGGGAAATTCAAAAATTTGAAAAAATTTTAATCCTTAAATATATTTCAAAAATATGATTTTCTTTTTAATTCTTCATGGATCTTAAGTTATTTCTTCTTTATATGTCATAAATGTTGCCATTGGTGTTTTTTCTATGATAATGACCCTTTTTTATTTATTAATATACTTATTCTGACTCTCAGCAGGGGGTTAATTATGCATCAAAACTTATGAAAAAGTAAATATACTTATCAAATATAACTAGGACAGTAATAAAAACCATATTTCACATACATTTGACTGAGGGACCAAAAGGGCATATATCCAGACACATCCTTTTAAATACTACACTGAGTGACACGTATAATACCAGTGGTGATTGGATCCTTAATACATAGTACATTTAGAAAATTGACTAATTAATGGCAATGAAATCCATTGATAAAAAACCTAAGGCCACAAATAATTCTTATTTTATTGTCTATGAAACATATTTGTCTATACATTTTCTTAAATCATTTGACACACAACATCTGTAAGGGAAACAGTTTTACTGCAACTGATTAAAGTTAATTTTAAAATACAGCTTCATTCAATCCAAGTGAACTTTTTCCCAGACACAAAGTAAGAAATAGAGCTATAAGATCAATTCTAATTGTTTGAGAATTTTCAGATGGCAGCAGAATCCAACGAAGGATTGGGGTCCAAAGCCACGGGCCAAGCAGAGTGGTAAAGATGACAATGTCGCAGAAAAGAGGGAGAGGATGCAAAATAAGAGAAAAGAGGTAATTATGATAATAGATAGTACTGTCAAATGTATCTTGAAAATCTATAGTGAGTCTAATGCAAGAAGTAATATAGTAGTCATTGTTTTTGTGTTGGAACACCTCCATAAAAGGAGTTGAACACATTTGCATTTTATTTGCAGTCCCAAGAACCCATTGACTATAATATGAATTGAACTCAGGCGAATTTCCATATTGAACTTTTTAGCAGAACCAAATACATTTTTTATTAATACACATATTCTCTTGTTTGTCATGTGCAAAAAGGTCTATATTCTATATTTTAGATGAAGGCTGTTGACGAACGAGATTTGAAGCAGTACCCATGCAAACGCTACAAAGTGGGGGACTGTGAACATGGAGATGCATGTACTTACACTCATGATGATAACACTGGAATATCAAAAAATTAAAAATTAAGATAATTATTAGATCTTTGTAAGGCTGTAAAGCAATTACATTTCTTGGAAAAGGCTCATTTTTTACAAATTGGCAACTTTTCTTAATGGTCACTCTGAAGTTTTGATAGCTACTTCCGGAAGCAAAAGTACAGTATAGCTACCATCATGAAATCATGCAATATTTTTTTAAATATAGTGTTAAAAATATAGAAAATGGAAGGTTGAAAGACAAGGAACAAGGTTTAGCAACTATATATAAATCTATCGTAAAAGCTAAAAACATTCTGAAGCATGTGATAGCTGCAATTTTCACATTAAATTAATCGCAATTAATTTTTTTTTATTTCAGTTCATAATGATATGTATCAAAATATATGGATATGAATCTTATTAAATTTTCTGTTATTTTCAAAGCTTAGAAAAATTTCTTCATGTAGAAAGTTATGTAATTTTCTTCTAAAATTGAAAAAACAGCTTATGTAGTTTATTCAAGTTGGAACTTCAAACTGTAGATAAGTATTTGTAGGTCAGGAATTTATTTATGGTATTTTCAGAAAAAAAGGTTGATGTCCATTATCATAACATGTGACTTAAATTATTCTAGGGGTTAAGGTGAGAATCTCTGCAATTAGCCATTTTTCTTAATTATCCCATCGAACGAAGTTCGGAGGGATATAGGGAGCGCCTCCGTCCTTCCGTACGTCCATCCGGGCAATAACTCAAATACCGTTTGCCCGATTTTGTTCATATTTTGTATACATATACCCTATGGGGATAGAAGTTCTGCTCAAAAGCCGATTTTCAAAATGGCTGCTCATTTAAAAATGGCGGCCATTTTAGTGCCGATTCTACAGTAATTTAGGTGCAATATGTAAAACTGTAATAGCAATATGTTTTAAATGTAAAAAAATTATAAAGGATATTAATAAAGCTAGAAATGTAGATATTAAAGAAGCACATGGCAGCCATCTTGAAAAATGGCAGCCTTTACTCGTTATTTTACGATTTTTGCTGTAACTCGAAAAGTAGTGGAGCGATTTTGTTCATATTTGGTATGTGAATACTATAAGCATGGCACACTGTCTAATGACACTTTTGGTAGAAGGTGGCCATTTAGAAAAATGTCCGCCATTTTGAAAAATGGCCGGCATTTTAACATATTTTACTGTAACTTGAAAGGTAGTGGAGCGATTTTGTTCATAATTGGTATGTGAATACTATAAGCATGGCACAATGTCTAATGACACTTTTGGTAGGAGGTGGTCATTTTGAAAAATGGTATAGACAGTATGGTATAGATTTTCTATATCAATTTTGTCAAGTTATGACCGCTGTAGCTAGCAAATGTGACTGAGGCTTAAGTACAGTCCCCATCTGAAATGTTTTAATTCTGTACAAAGATCTTGTTAACTGCTTAAACACTCACCATCTCTGTTTGAATTGTTTTTGAGAAATCATCCTCATCCTGTGATTCATACAGATTTTTTGATCACTGATTTTTATATTGCAAATTTTGTTGTTCTGAGTTCCTGGTTGATCTATGTTACAAATACTGATGTCAGTCATCAGTCATTGAAATACTTATAAGGAGAGATATAAATATAAAAAATATATACATTGTATTGGTGGTCAAAGTAGCAAAATACTGTTTTCTATGGTTATGTGAAATTATTATATCACTATCTAGCTAGCGACAGTATGATTGGTCAAAACCGGGTCACATGTCGTGGGATATCTGGCGATATTTAATGGCAATGCTAATCAGATAAGACAACCGTGAGATATCTAGCGATATCCCACGCTCCCGGGAATTTTCAAAGAATTTGTTTTCATTCAGTGTAAATAATTTAGTTAAGTGTAAGTCAAAATGGCAGACGAACCGAGTAGATTCAATGTATTTCAATGTTAACCTATGACTTAATAATATTAGGGATGTTTAGCTAGACAGTGATATAATAAAACAAATATTTCACTCTATTTTCGGTGAATACCTGTAGCACTTTCACAAGGTGATATTCCACTTGCCCTTCGGGCTTCGTGGAATATCACTTGTGAAAGATGTACAGGTATTCACCTCAATAGAGTGAAATATTTGTTCAATATTCCATAAATATGATATTTTTCCCCTGGTTACAAAAATATCAATTTTATTTTGATTTAATATCTTTTGAATGAAATTGAAGATTAATTAATATGTAAAATAAATCATTCTTAATATAAGCAGTTACATCACTTGAAAATTAAAACTGTACAAAAGTGTGAGAATAAAAGATTTATGAAAATTATTTCATCAGTATATTGTTTCATTGTTGCGAATTCATTGTAACTTCATTTAATGCACTTTTTAGATAAACCCTCCTGATGTTTGCACAGTTGTATCTTCATGAATAATCATGGTTCTGTGAAAAAGTGGATTACCTCAACTACAATAGGGCAGCATGTTTTATTCCATTCCAAGTGCTTACTATTTTCTAAAAGAAATAACTTACAGATTGGACAAAATTGTATTTTATTTTTCTGAAAACCTTCAGTACCACATTGTCCAACTAGCCATCGTATTACATTTTGATGAAATAAGTTTATTACCATGAACAAAATAAACACAATTAATTGAAAGACCCACAGAATGACAGTTTTTGCCAGAATAAAAAAATCAAATAAATAATCAACCAAGACTAAAAGTGACGATTCACTCAGTCTAAAAATTGGATTGGATTGTATTTTCTAGATTTCCTCTAGAGTACATTTTCATAAGTTTCGATTAAAAAGTGATAAGTAATACAATACTAACATATTTACAGTTACATATTTCAGATAATGTGCAATCATATAGTTGACTTAAAGTGAGAATCAGATCTAGCGAGCAGCCTAATAAAAGATTGTTTTAATTTTAGAATATGTCATTCCTTTTCATGTCTATTTTCTAAAAATCCCCAAAGTGCACACTTTATATTAGGAAAACTATAAGATTTTTTAAATAATGTATTATTTTTCTATAAGAATGGTTACCATTTTTATTATTTGGGAGAAGTTAAACATTTTCCTCCCATTTTTGCAGTTTGAATCTATTATAACTTCACCAATTTATAACATATCATGTTGCATAAAATGTTTACTGTATTGATGACACAGTGATAATTTTTTCTCAGGTGCTTACATCACAATTTGCTATAACACCTTTAGTTCTCGCGAATATTGTTTCTACAATAATGTCTCTATTACCATTGAATAGTTCAACCGAATCTTTTGGGTTTAAAAACTAACTATTTCTTCGAAAAATCTGTCTCATATGAATATGGTAGGGTGTTAATGACTTGACTTACTATAAAGTAATTCAAAAATAAATAATGATAAAGTGATTATCATGATGTAAGAACTAAGAATGTCTCCTTTTGATAAAGCCGGAGCTGACATTGCCGAATATTAAATTTCTTTGATCCAGTGGGGAGTTGGGGTTTCTTAACATTTGGTAAGACTATTTAACAAGCTTAAATAAAACAAGTAATCATAAGTAACAAGTAACATTTATTTATTTATTTTACTCACACACTGATGTCAATATACAATGTTTATAACATGTATAATATCTCAAAACATAGCACATAAATATCATAAAATCAGAAAGTGTTTTTAAGTACATGAAGTAAGGTACATGTATTTTGAAACGGTCGCTTCTCGTACAGGAGGACAATGACCAAATCTTAGCCATTGTTATACCTTATATCACCCACTAACATCTATGTGTTACACGAGTGGATCCAAATGTTTTCATTTAGGAAGGTGCATAGTTTTAGAATTTAATTATTTATTAGGGTAATGTTATTCTGTAATTGTGTATCGCAAAATTCAACACTGCTCAAATTTTCATCAATACTGTCTATGGCTATTAATTTTTTCTTCGATTTAACAGCAACGTTATCTTGGGATTCAAGCAGATCTGGAGTTGATTTTTGTTTGATATGTAGTTTTTTCTTAAGAATCTCCCCAATCTCTGACATACGTTTTACTAATTTTGATTTTTGTTGTTTTTCGTTCACTGTCATTGCGTCAGCTAATGGGATTGAGAGCCCCTGAGAGATGAGTTGCGAGAATATCAATTTCGGATTTATGTTGTACTTGGCGCTTGCTTCAAGGTAGAGGTATCCGTTGATCTTTACCATAGCTTCAGTCTCGGCTGGGTTCACCTGCATTTCGTCATATCCACAGTCCACCTTGTTCCCCACAAATATGATAGGGATATCTTCACGATCTGAATGAAACATAACATTAATTAGTACATTTGTACGAACACAGCCACCTTCTATCTATGTCACCATTGCAGACATTACCCACATTTACGGTGGTTTTGAAGTATACCTTGTACACGTCATATAAAAAGATTATCAACCAAGGCCCTTTGAATTATATAATAGAAAAAATATGACAACATACTTTCAAGTCAGACAACTTACCTTTGATATCTACGACTTGTTGCTTGAATGCCAATGCCCTGTCCAGCGTCTTTTTGTCATTCATGGCAAAAACGATGACAAACGCTTGACTGGTGCGTATGCTCAAATCCATCATCGCAGGGAACTCGTAGGCACCAGCTGTGTCAATGATCTCCAGTGTGTAGTATTCACCTCCTATTAAAAAATGAATGTAGGTATAAGTTTGGAACCTCGATCCGATGTTCAAGCTTTTCAAAGTCATTTACCAGGCATGTCACGCCCTTTCCATGTCATCATATGAGAAGAAAATCAAACGTAAACATGTTTTGACAAACTTTTGGATGGGGAGTTTGGGATTACAACCTTTGTGTGGAGGGTGTTAATTCAAAATAATTAAGGAAAAGCCTGAGCGACAAACAAATGTTTGGACGAAGACGCGCTTATTACTTAAAGGAACTATAAAGGATGCCCTGTATGCAGTTGAATTTCGAAAAGCTGCATTTCTTTTAATTCATTTAAGCCAATATGTGAAGATTACAAAGACCCGATTGGATCCAGGTTTCATCATATGCAAAATGGAAATGTCCAAAATCAAGATGATGCAAACAACATTTTTTTAAAATTAGAAACGGAATTCTTAACACCAGCCCCCAGTACCGTGACCAAATGTGTTTTAACAAGTGGACCTGCTGCCTCCTTACTTGCAAAATGGAACCACGACGAACTTAACAACTTCTATTAAAAAATATAGACCGTTGGAAAATAAAAGTTTCATTCATTTAATTGAAGATAATCAGAGCAGCAAAATATGATAATAACAACTCACCAGTAATTTTCATGAGTTGTGTGTAATGGTTGCCAACAGTCGGAATGTAAACGTTGCTGAATGTATCGTTCATAAAACGAGTCACAATTGACGTTTTCCCTACTCCCCCAGCTCCTAGGATGGCAACCTTGTACTCTTTCACACCATTACGCACTCTTCTCGACATATCCGAATTTTAGTTTTCTGTGCCCAAATGCCTTTATTTTGTCAGTTGCAAATTTCTTATCACTTTAAGAACAGATTATGTCTATCTTGTTCTTTGCTCCTCTTTATAAAATATTTTTCTTGAGGTGATAATTGTTGATAAGCATTGTAATGATGTCATATTGATGCTGCTACAGGGTGTCCCATTTTAATTCCCATTGTAATTCTGTTCTTAAAATATGATTTGAACACAACATTATATGAAGGCTTTGTATAAAAAACTCGTACCCACGTATGTGACTTTTAAGGGTTACATTTTTAAATTTACTTTTCAATACAGGGATTTGCTAAATGGAATTCTGTTTCATTTTATTAAATCAAAGCATGAGCAATGATGATTTTAGTCTCAGGGATCGTAACTTCAGCTCAACACACAACAGTGTTACTGTGGTCGTGGATGATGGTTCACTCTCTGGTTCCAAATTGAATGATACATAAAATGACACATAAAGCCAAAGATGTACTCTAAATGTGAAAATTTAGTGAAAGCTTTTAGACGACTTCCTTGAATTATCCAGCAAATAAAAAAGCGATTTTAGAGCATTTCAATTTCACCATTTTGAAAAATAGCAAAGTTTGCAATTCTGGCCTTATTTAATAACTGGACAAATAAATGTTAGATCTGTATAAGACATACACAGATTAATGCATCTCGATTCAGCACAGTAGATTGAATAATCATACAGTTTTGAAAATTAAACCCTTTTTAAATAAAAAGCCTAATATGAAATTCACTAAAATTGAGGATCATAAGCTTCATTTGGTAATATAAGTTTGACCTCATATTTGGCTCAATTGATCTTTGGTCAATGTTATTTTATCAAATATGACGTTAACTCATGCTGGATGACTGATTGATTAACATTTGTTTAGGTTACCTTTTTAACTCACCCTGTATAATGGTATGTAAATGGTAGCCATAGCAATGTATACATGATTTATGTGCGTTCATTGTACATGTTGTACTATTATTTATTTTTAAACCAGAAAATTAACTGTTTTAATCAATTGTATTGGTGATATTTCTTATACTGTTCTTGAATTCAGAAAACTCCTGTTATATAGCACAATAATGTTATATGTGACTCAATCATCATATTTTATGTGTTAGTTTTGCTCATATATGACCTACAAAATGCGTTGAGAAAAAACACCCCAAGCTTGTCGAGAAGGCAATAACCCACCAATGGATAATGTCCAACTCATAAATCTAAGAGGATATACTTTTTAATACCCACTTTGATTTCTATTACCTAATTTAATCCAATGGAGTACCATCTGATGGAGATTTGACGCACCATTTAGACTGGGTCCACCATGGAAATTAGGTAATTCAGTTGGCTCTCTGCGATATGTCGCATGGGCGTCAGAGACTCTGAAGCTGACCAAGATTCCTGTGAACCTTCAGAAAATATGCTATTTCATATCAGAAAACAACTACTTAAAAACGCCCAGATTGCACCAAATAACGTCTTCTGTTACAAAAAATTTCCACGGGGAGCATGCCCCCGGACCCCCAGATTCAGGGTCTTCCACGCAACCACTTGCCAAGCCATCTATCTGTCTATATTTTTTGGAAAACGCACAACACCCTTTTTCAAATACGGTGCGGACTTCTGTTCTCTATAGTTTTAGATACCATGCAAAAACATTGACTTTTGCACGTTTGTTGCGTTGTGCCTTTTTAATAGATCTCACACCTTACACCAATCGTGTATTCGTAAAAAATAATAAAATTTTAAAAATACCACGTGCAGCATGGCAAGTGATTTTAGATGGTCATGTCTTTCACCATGAGTACTTTCTGGATATAAATACAGTGGTTTTTATTAAAACAATATGTTTTCTTTCAAGTTAAGTCCCTACGATGATAAAAATATAAATCAAACAATCCAAAAATTATAAATCATGACACGTCAACAATTTTTTCAAAATGTTGAACTTATTTGCTCAAAAGAGGATCTTCTCTTTCTGATTTTTATTACATGAAAAGATTATTCAACAAAGGTCTAAAACATCTTCAAAAGTAGAATGTTATTGAAAGTCTCGTTTTGAAGATATCAATTTTCGATGACCAAAATGATGCTGAAAACAATGGATAGCACGAGTTTTTCCTATGGGAAAATAACATGGGATATGTGGTTTTTAACTTTATTGCATTTCAATACGCATCTCCTTTTCAGAAATTGCTAAAAGAAACTTTCGATATGTTTAAATTGAGAAAAACAAGATCCTATTTTAGAAATTAAACCTAACATTTTTTAAAAAGTGCCAAGGTGGGGCCCTAATCCATAATTTTTCAGAGAGTTGGATTGATATTTTACTATCATGGGGACTTCACTTGAAAGAAAACATGATAAAAACCATTGTACAGGGTGGGCCAAAAAGCCACTTTTTTCAAGATACTATAACTTTTTCATTTTCCAACCAAATTATATAGTGCCAGGGGTCCTAATATAAGTAATAAAATAATGTAACAAGTCCCTAAACTTGGATTGTATTTGATCTAAAAGAGGAGTTCAATTGGTCCGCCACCCTCTTTGATGATAGCCTTCTTAGTCTTAGCCAACATTAACTTCATTGATACCCCAATATCAGTATGGCGACTAAGTTTCTTTCAACCTGTCTTAGTTGCCAGGTTTAGTTGAGCAATTTTTGAGATTGGGTACCTATATACCATCTCCTGGAGACCTTCTTGTACCCTGTACTCCCTGGAGTTTACATCAGGACTATTAGCTCGGTGGTCATGAGGCCGTATCAGTTTAGGTACATTATGCAAATTCTGTTCATATCTAATGGCGCACCACATATTTTAGTGAGACGCTGGTGACATATTTTATTCAAGTATAAGTGTACAATTCATAATACATGGCTAGATTGCATCTTCAAGTTTCGTTTGGTATGCAAATTATAATTTTGGATCGAAAATTAATAAAGTTACAGCATTTTGAAAAAAAGTGGCGTTTTTTGCCCACCCTGTATTTATGGCCAGGAAGTACTCATGTTGAATGATATGACTGTCTAAACTCACTTGCCATACTGCACATGGACCTTTCAACATACAGGTCCATGTACCTATACATTAGGGAGTTAAAGCTTGCATATAAAATCGAAACGTCAACCTATACGTAATCGCCCATACAAATGCATCGCATAAATATTTTCCGTTCACTTTTAGGTTGTGAAAAACATTGCAAGCGTAAACTCCCTATTAAGTGATGGTATTTGTAAACGTGCTCTTGAAAAAATAAATACTGCAGTTTTGAATTTTCTAGCAGAAATCGGCTACTTTCTCGCCCTACGCCCCACTCCGTTCATTTTTTCCGATCACAGGGCGTGGATATTTTTAAATAAATAGTAATGTCTGGATCACCAGACTTGCCAACCTCCCGTTTTTTTACGGGAATCTCCCGTAAATTTATTGTTTTTCCGTAAAAAATACCAAACTCCCGTACCGTTTTCTCCCGTAAAAACTCCCGTACCGTATTTCTACTAAAATCTCCCGTAATTTTTTCCAAAAATATTGCCGTAAAATCTCCCGTATTTTTGCTGAAATCTCCCGTAAAATGTCCCGTATTCTGGTATAACTCCCGTAAAATCTCCCGTATTCTTGGTATAACTCCCGTAAAATCTCCCGTTTTCTGGTATAACTCTCGTAAAATCTCCCGAATTCTTGGTATAACTCCCGTAAAATCTCCGTTTTTTGCTGTCGAAATCTACCGTATTCAAAAGGAATTTGACAAATTTGTGACCTTGATTATTGCAGGCACGCTTCTTTCTTTTACTCCAAGAAGGATTGGCTCCCATGGTTCACTATCGATACTTTCATAAATAACTTAAAAGTACTTCATTCCCATGATTCAAATTGCTTTTCTGCGATCAGTTCGGTATAAGTTTGCACACCAAATGTCCACAAACGGGGGCCAGTTCATATTCTGTCATACTTCTGTCGGGAGAATACATTTTGTTTTTATATGGCGCTTAACAAAATATTCCCGCAATATAAGGCGCATTATGGGTAGGGACTGCTGTGAAATAATGAACGTAAGTGAAATCTATCTTAGATTATAAGTTCTAATTAATTTATTAACTGCGCATGCGTCATAATAATTTCAACCAATTAAATCGTTTTTTCAGAAACCTACCGTAAAAACTCCCGTTTTTCCGAAATCTACCGTAAAAACTCCCGTTCTTTCAAAATCTACCAATTAAATCGTTTTTTCAAAATTTAAAGTAAAAACTCCCATTTTTTCCGAAATCTACCGTATAAACTCCCGTTTTTTCAAAATCAACCGTAATCAATCCGAAATCTACCGTAAAAACTCCCGTTCTTTCAAAATCTACCAATTAAATCGTTTTTTCAAAAATTAAAGTAAAAACTCCCGTTTTTTCCAAAATCTACCGTATAAACTCCCGTTTTTTCAAAATCAACCTTAAAAACTCCCGTTTTTTCCGAAATCTACCGTAAAAACTCCCGTTTTTTTTAGAAATCTACCGTAAAAACTCCCGTTTTTTTTTTAAATCTACCGAAAAAACTCCCGTTTTTTCAAAACCCACCGTAAAAACTCCCGTTTTTCAGAACCTACCGCAAAAACTCCCGTTTTTTTCTGAAATCTTCCGTAAAAAATCACGTTTTTTTTAATTTACCGCAAGAAATACATTTTTTTCAAAATTTACCGCAAAAACTCCCGTTTTTTTTAAATCTCCCGTAAAAACTACCGTTTTTTTCAAAAATCTCCCGTAAAAACTCCCGCTTTTTTTCAAAAAACTACCGCAAAAACTCCCGTAAAAGTACCGCAATTTTTTTTAAATATCCCGAAAAATTTTCACTTTAGGTTGGCAAGTCTGGGGTCACATTTGCTCCAATCCATCGGCCGGCGCCCGGCCGATTGAGTGTTTTGCTCAATATTGTATTCAATTCTGAACAAAATACTCAATCGGCCGGGCGCCGTAGTGAAAATCGGCGCATATGTGACCAAGGCATAATAGATAGCTACATTAAAGGGTGACGCATATCG